ACAGTTACAGATAATGAGTGCTCTGTTCCACTGGGGCCATGTGAAGAGCCTTTAGAAATGTGTCGGATTGTGTGCATAAGATAGAGGAAGCTCTTGTCCACAGAGCCCTGCTCCCTGTTGGTTTATGATGGCCCCATGGGTTGCTCATGTCTAAATGCTAAGCAGGCACAGGTCTCAGAAAAGCCCCAGGACAAGACTCAAGATGTACACAATACGAGACCCAAAACTGAGTTTCTGTTGGGCAGTGGGAGCTGAGCTTCTACCCAGAGACTGAAAATAGAGCCAGGGAGATTTAAAATGAAGCACAAGATGTGGCCTACAAAATATCAATTTCAAGTTTCTATAAGTTACACAAGGAAAAAAGAATGATCTGATGAATAAACTATATTTCCCTTTATTAAATCAAGTGGTGATGTTTGAATATCCCCTAATCATTTTTGTAGCTTCAGTTTGTTCAGTGACACATCTGAGATTTTGAGAGTAAATTTCTTTTATTTTTATTGATTTCTGAGAATTTAATACAATGTATTTTTATCATATTCAGAACTCCCCCTCTCTGCACCCCCCACTCTACTACCCCCTGCTCGATCTCATGCCCTCTAGGCATATGCACTCTAATGTGTGCCCCCCAAATGCCCTTCGGTATATGTCCATCCCCTGAAGCCTGGTCATCCAACCCAGCATTACACCCGTAAAGAAAACTGATTCTCCTTCTCCCAGCAGCTTCAATTGCCAATGGTATCTCAGTTGGGGGTGAGTCTTCTTGCCCACCTGCTGACCTCTGGGTTGGGATTTTGTCAGGTTTGAGCCTGAATAACTCCTGTGTATGTTGTCATAATTGTTGTGAGTTCATGTGAGTAATTGCCCTGCTGCGACCGGAAAACACTGTTTCCTTGTAGTCATTCACCACCTCTGGTTCTTAAAACCTTCCTACCCCCCTTCTTCCTCAATGCTCTCTGAGCCTTGGAGGAGAGGGTGTGATATAGGAGAGGGTGTGATATAGAAGGTGTGATTCAGGGCTAAGCACCCCAAAGTCTCTTATTCTCTGCACATTAATCAGTTGTGGGTCTCTGTGTTAACTGTCAGCTGCTGCAAAAAGAAGGTTTTCTGTTGAGAGTTGAGATATGAATAATCTATGGGTATAACAGTCATAAGGAGTTGGCTTAATCCTGTGTCCATTTAGCAAAACAATAGTAGTAGGTCATGGTTTGAGACTTTTCTAGCCACAGGTTCCTAAGCTTGAAAATAGTACCATTTATGGGCTCCATCTTGGGAAGTGGGCCTTAAATCCAACAGACACTGGTTGGTTACTCACATAACATTCATGCCACTATTACACCAGTAGGCATATCACACCAAGCCAGCTGTTGTAGCTCACAGGGTTCACAGCTGGGCAAGACTGATGATTACTTTTCTCTTCCAGTAGCATGCATAGCAACTTCCAACGCTATGAAAGCTGGCTAGTTAGAGATAAACCTTTGAAGTCAATACCAGCTTGCCATCTCCTTGTTCATTCTACAACTCATATTTGTAATGTCTTCAGCAATAGGATCTTAACGTCAAGTTCTGGTGGGCAAATAACTTTAAGAAGCTTCTCTAAGAAATAGGCTTCTAGGCCAAGCGTGGTGCCACACACCTTTAATCCCAGCACTTGGGAGGCAGAGGCAGGCAGATCTTGGTGAGTCAAAGGCCAGCCTGGTCTACATAGTGAGTTCCAGGACAGCTGGGGCTACAAGGAGACCCTGTCTCGAAAAGACAAAAAAAAAATAAAAATAGGCTTCTATATGACTCTTCCAAAAGGCCTATAATTTTTAATGGTTGGGGTAACAGTTCAAGTATGTTACCTAGGACTGCCAAGATGTATCATAAGTGAAAAATACTAAAATAAAATATGACAAAATTATAAATAAAAGAAATTTATGCTTTATCCACTTCTTCATTTGCATTTTGATAAACCCATATGATCTAAAGCCATAGGATTTCATTTAAAAAAAGCAAGTAGGGAGAGTAAGCACTTCCTGATCATTGAACTCTAGTTCAAATTATCTTTGCATACTTAAAATAATTACAGTTATAAGCCAGACATGCTGGCACATGCCTTTAATCCCAGCACTGGGGAGGCAAAGGAAGAGAGATCTCAAGATCCAGGCCAGTTTTGTCTACATAGCAAGTTCCAGGAAGACCCTGTCTCAAAACAAAAAAAAATTAGTTATATAAGCATAACTTATGTCCAATTTATAGACTTTATGTGAATATTAATTAGATAATTAATACATTAAATTTCTTAGATAACTGATAGATTAAATAACCTATTAAAGATAGCTTATTGAACATTTATGTCTCAGGAACTTTTTTGAGTTACATGAATTATAGCAAGTTAGAATGAATTAAGACAGTGGCCAAATAGTCCAAATAGTTTGGAATCACAATGAGAATATTCCAATAAAGAAATAAGTAATCTTATTGCAAGACACTGGCAACTTCATTAATTCTATAATTTGTCTGCAAATGTTCATTCATGTGAGAGAAGAATATTGGTATAAAATTGTAAAGATAAAGGAAAAATGAGGAGCTGGGTAGTCAGAGCTTTGACATACAAAGCAGTTTTTCAGAAAGGAATAATTAAAGTTTCAGTCATTAGTTTGAAGATTTAAAAATAGTTAACTTATTAACAAATACCCAGCACTCTGTAACTTAAATTTGCTATATAATAGTTTGCATTCACAGATGCTACTAAATTTGTCAAAGGCACAACTGTATTTGCCATGAAGAGCCCAGGTCATCTACAGGTGCTTTCCCACATGTGGTCATGCCCTTCTCTGTTACCTGCTCAGTATATCACTGGCTCATTTATAAAATGATACAGTTGATGTGCTTAATTAGATTATTCACAGTTTCTATGGGAGTACAGGAAAATCCTGTATTTCCTGTTTCTCTCTCCCATGAATTCCTAGTACAAAGATCTAAATGGACTGCTTATCATACAATTATACAACTTCAGATAAACTCAGGTAAGATTATAGGTTTTTTCATAATCTTAAGTGGTAAAGAAAAGTTCTGAAACTCACACAAAAAGAATAATAATAACAATGCAAGCTGCACATATGTTCTAGGATTTGCACAAAAGTTACGATGTAATGACTGACTAGTGATTATGTTTAGTGTGGGAATTCCAAGTCAAACTCAATGAGTTTTACTGTTAACTTATTTGAATGAAAGAAATAATGTCTTTAAACAACATCCTCTCTACTACTTTCCTGCTCTTTCCCTTGCCAATTGATTACTCTTTAATCATTCAGCTTCCTCTGAAAGTTTCAACTAAGAATTGAAAAAAAATTTGAAGTTCAATCCTGAAAGAAGAAATACTATCCTTCAGAAGAATAGATAGTAACCTAGATTATTGTGACAGCCAATCTCTTTGTATGTGTCATTGTAATTGGTCATGATACCTCCCACCAACTTAGCCAGAATGTGTCTTCCAAGTTAATCTGTGTGAATGCAATGGTGATGCATGTCTACCTGTGGGCCAACTTCCCTTGCATGGCCTTCCTCATAATGACACAGTAGGAGATCCCCCATTCTGCAACACAGGGCAGGCAGAGAGACCACCAACGTGATGGGGTCTATGTCATGTGTCTTCTTGTTCTCCACCACAGGAGTGACAATATTGACCCCTGCCAGAGGGACAGGCAGTCTCTTAGTGAGGATGTCCCCTCTGGTCAGCAGCTTTCTCCCCAGCACAGGCCAATAGCCTCTGCTTCTCCCGCTTTGTCTCTGGCCTGTAGTTGTGGGTGAGCTTAAACAGCTAGGTCTGGGTGAACTTGTTAATTGAGGATGGCACTTTCTTTAGAGAGGACAGCCCTTTGCCACTGCAGCTGGATGTGTTGGGGGTCATTTGACCAAGCCAGTGAGGTCTATTTTGAGCTGGATGTCCTGTCTAATGCCAAAGAACTTGGGCCTTTGCTCAAACAGAAGATTCACCAAGTTTTTGGCTTCCTGCTTCTACACAACAGCAGGGACCAGGCCACCTCATCCCCTTGACTTTCTTTCATCATCTTGATACACTGGAGAAGAAAGGGAAACTTCAGTTTTTGAATATCAATTTTAATTGGATTCCAAGACAAGGTGTCCAATTGTTTTCACTATTGTTGTTGTTATTATCTTATGGTTTCTACATTAAAATTTGATCATCTACAATCCCTTTTGAATATCTATATTTCTAATTTCTTTTACTAGAACTTCCAGAACAAAAATAACCAAAGTGGTGATTGAAGACTTATTTGCCTGATTTCTGAGAAATGTTACCAGTGATTCTTTTTTGAGCATGATACTGGATTTTAGGTTGAGGTAGATACTTTATATATGCTGTCTTCTTTTAATATGAATAAAGAATAAATTTGAATTTTAACATCTATTTAGCATATATAGATATGACGTTTTTACCATAAATTTTCTAATATGGTAAGTTTTTTAATAGATTTTTCTAACATTGAATTTATAGAGCTAACCTTTTTATTCCTGGAGTAATCCTTATTTGACTAATGAGTACTTTCTCTTAAAAGCTGCTGGATTCTGTTTGCTAATGTTTCACTTTGGATTTTTCTATCAGTGAACATAAATGAAGTGGCCTGTAATTTCTTTATTTGCACCTTCTTTATCTGACTTGGGGAATTTCTGAACCAAGAATTCAGTAAATGTAATAGTACCATTGCAATGTAGATCCATACTTTAAAATGTCCCCAAGTAAGTGTCTTGGCTTTTCACTGTACCTCATTATCCAAAAGAAGTTAAATTTTTTTGCCCATGATTTTATTAAGTAGAATATATGTGAAAACATGTGACAATTTTACTTCTACCTAATTTGAGAGGGAATACATTCAAGATTACTAGAAAGTTACTTACAGTAGGTCCTGGCTATGTCTTCTTAATTTTTCCATGCACAGGGCATTTATATTCTGGTGGGTTTTATGTTTATTTGTTTGGTTTTGTTTGTTTTTCAGTGATGGAGAAAACGTGCACAGATACACATCTTCTTGCTATGAATTCCTCAGAAAAGCAAGAGACTGTCTGTATTTTTGGGACAGGGGATTTTGGGAAATCACTGGGAATTAAAATGCTTCAGTGTGGTTATTCTGTTGTTTTCGGAAGTCGAAATCCCCAGATGTCCAGCCTTCTGCCCAGGGGTGCAGAGGTCTTAAGCTATTCGGAAGCAGCCTGGAAGTCCGACATCATAATCCTAGCCATGCACAGAGAACATTATGATTTCCTCACAGAGATAATTGAGATTCACAATGGGAAAATATTGGTAGATGTCAGCAACAACCTCAAAATCAATCAGTATCCAGAATCTAATGCTGAGTATCTTGCCCAGTTGATGCCAGGATCCCACGTGATAAAAGCATTTAACACCATCTCAGCCTGGGCTCTCCAGTCAGGAACATTGGATGCAAGTCGGCAGGTAAGAGTAAATGAATTTGCATTTGGTCTTTTAAAAAAATGAATCTTTTTTATTACCTTTTTTATTATTCCAAAGCGAGGCAATTTTAAACACATTTTTCCAGAAATAACTTGCAATAGGTTACATAAAGATATATATACAATGAAGTTTAAGGGGGGAAATAGGAATAAGAAATCAAAGACCAAAGGATTTACCAACAGAAAAAAAAAAAACTGAGTTAATGGAGACCTTCGTTATTCCACCAAAGTTGACCCCCATGTTGGCAAAAGTGAATCTTTTTTTTTTCCAGATGTCTCTCTGTTAACTCTCTGCCCTGTAAAAGTGAATCTTTTGATGTGCACTTACCTCAAAGACTCTAAAATACAATTCCAAAATTAAATACCTAATAAATAGCTCATTTTTAAAAATTATGTACCAAGGTACCTTTCTTGGACTTGACCAAGTGTAGTCTACTGTTGTGATTCATTTCCCACTGTTTACACGTTCTACTTTTATGAATAGCTGGATGGCACCCAATGATGTAAGAACCTGGCGTCCTCTTGTCAGTGCTAAAAAACTGCCAGTAGCTTGTTGACTCATTTTCCACTTGCATAAAACTGGTCCCATTTATGCCCCGAGATGAGCAGTAGTTATAAATGATATGGCACACACAATTCAGAATAAAGGTGAGACTACTACTCCCATTGCAGAGAATCTCATCTTATAACAACGCAATGTGCCTAAAATCATCCTCTTGGTCTTTCACTGTCTAGCACACACATGAAAGTTTAAAAGCATCGTCTTATTCAATACATTAATTCTATGGGTTTGCTTGGAAACAAGAAAAAATGGGCTATTTTTCCACATGGTGCTTATGTAGACTTTAAAAATAATTTTTAAATAAAGAAAAACTAATAAATACAGAATTATTTTAACTCAGGTGTTTGTCTGTGGAAATGACAGCAAAGCGAAGCACAGAGTGATGGACATTGTTCGTGCTCTTGGACTCACTCCATTGGATCAAGGATCTCTCATGGCAGCCAAAGAAATTGAGAACTACCCTCTGCAACTGTTTCCAATGTGGAGGCTCCCTTTCTATTTGTCTGCTGTGCTGTGCGTCTTCTTCTTTGTCTACTGTGCTGTAAGAGAAGTGATCTACCCTTATGTGTACTCAAAGACAGATAATACATTTCGCCTGGTTATTTCCATTCCAAATCGTGTCTTTCCAATAACAGCACTGACACTACTTGCCTTGGTTTACCTCCCTGGTGTTATAGCTGCCATTCTACAGCTCTACCGAGGTACAAAATACCGCCGATTCCCAGACTGGCTTGACCACTGGATGCTTTGCAGAAAGCAGCTTGGCTTGGTAGCTCTGGGGTTTGCCTTCCTTCACGTCATCTACACACTTGTGATTCCTATTCGTTACTATGTGCGATGGAGGTTGAGAAACATAACCATTACTCAGGTAAATCTCTACTCATTTGAATTCCCCTACCCGTTAAATCAAAATGGAATCTTGTTCTACCACATTCCATCTTACAATGAAAGAAAATTGCACTCCTAAGCATATTTTTGTCCATTTTTGTTTTGTGAGACAGGATCTCATGCAGGCCAGGCTGGCCTCAGACTCCTGCTTTTCCTGTGTCCACCTCCAAAGTGCTGCAGGAGTGCACCACCACACCTGGCCTGCATCTTTATTTTTTAAAGTATCAAGAATCTGAATCTGGGATTTTTTTTCATGAATCTGATTGCAATTTCATGGACTACTGCAAATAAAAGTTAGATTCCCAGGCTCACTTGGATCAAAATCTTTAATCCCAGGAGATAGTAAGAAACTGGCAGATTTGAGGCTCAGGAAACTTAATGACATACTTGAAGTCCTTTGGGTGAGAGTTAATGAACACAAACACATATGTTTTTCAAGCTTCTGTTTTTATGCTTGTTACTTCCTTTTGGAAGTCTAAACTGCTGTCTTCTAACTATGGATCTGCTCAAGCACGTGCCATACCAATACAAACAAATTCACCAAAGGGTGCTTATAAACCCATTATTGTTTGACTTCTGAGAAGTTTTCCTCAGTAATCGGAAAACTAAACAATTCTGAATAAATATCATATGTTGTCTTATCAGTGCTAAAAAGGCAGCTCAAGGAGTCTCACAGTGCTTACAGTAGCAGTACTCTAAGTCTGTTCTAGTTTAGAAATAAATGGTTTTGATACATCTTACAACAGTCTCAAAGATTATTAGTCAATAACTCACTGGCAATGTTTCTATGAGTATTTTTAGGTTATTTCCCTAACAAATGCATGAATGTCATACCGCCCAAACTGTGGTATGACAGACTTACTGCTATACTGTGACATAATCATAATGAAAGACCCAGACTTCCTGTGTGTGAGACTAATCAGCATATAAAACTGAAAAACAAAATTTCGATGTCATTGTTTGAAAACACCATGTTTGTTGGGGAGATAAAAGGCCGTGTGCTAAAGAAGGTTAAAATAAATGTTGACTTTGTTTTAATATTTATAGGGCAAGTTAAAACTGCCTACATGACTCCTAGAATCAAGAATTATAATAAAATCTCAGCAGAATCAATTACTTTTTCTGCCAAAAACATTCAAATATATTTTTCTAAAACGATTTCTAAGTGATTAATAAAAACTGCTATGCAATCTGCTCTGTGTGTATAATACATGTGGAGGTATGTTTCAATCCCCTGTAAAGTAGAAAGTATAAGGACTATAATTTTTTAGTTTATATTTTTTTAGGTTCTGGCCAACAAGGACAACACATTTAGTACCTCTTCAGCCTGGCTCAGTGATTTGTATGTGGCCCTGGGAATCCTGGGATTTTTTCTGTTTGTTCTCCTGGGAATCACTTCCTTGCCATCAGTGAGCAACATGGTCAACTGGAGAGAGTTCCGATTCATCCAGGTAAGGACTTCAGGGCTTACACTTCTGGATACTACAAAATGAACATAGCTTTTACAAATATTCTAGTTTTTCTCTCCTCTCGTGCCTTGTTTTTCATTTACTCCATCACTTCCTTGGGAATCTCATTAAAACTTCACATTAGAAAGCAAACTCAGGCACTAACAGGCAGATTCAATAATGATTTGATTTCCTGGTGGGACTATTTTGCCGAGATTCCTGGCTATTTGCAGAGATACAGCCAAGTGTAAAGAGTGGAGACTACCAAGAGCTATTAACTGTGTATGGAGACGTACTGAGTAGAAGGTGGAAAGAAACCCAAAGACAAAATTTCACCTTCTGAATTCAGCCTTACAATATGGCCATGTAGATGAGAAAAAGCAGATGCTATAACAACATTTAAAAGCTTCAAAGCAAAATTTGATAGATATCATCATGCTAGATGTATTTCTAGTCCGTAAGAGGGAAATTTGTTTTTCCACATATTAACCACTAGACACCTCATTAAAGGTAATAACTATTCCTGGAGATCAGTGAACCTCACAGGATGACACACCTGAAGAAAAAGAAGCATCACCCAGGGAATTGTCAGGCCATACAGTTCCAGGCCACACCCAAGCTAGCAATCAGAAGCTCTGGAGAGGGAGCCCAGCAGGTTGTTCTAACAAGCCCTGCAGATAATTCCCACGCATGCTCACAGGGAAGCAATATATGAAAACAAACCATTAATAATTGAATTTAGGTTTGGCTAGCAAATTCTACAATTTCTGCTAGAGACCAAATGTAGCCCAATTCAAGGAATTAAGACAGAAAGAAGCACTGAACTTTAGAATTTAGGCCCTCCACAAACAAAGTTAAGTTTGGCAATTATTCTTTATTGTGATAAAAATCAGCTAGCATCTTCTTTTGACCAGTAACATAGAGTAATGCAGAGATTCTTAAGGTCATATTGATCTGACCTCTAGATAGGATGATAAATAAAAGAATTTTCACTGAGTACCAAAACATTGTATATCATTGTCTTCTAACTTAGAAGAGTTTACTCCTGAGAAACTTTTCTACCAAGCCAGGTTAAGGTAAAGCTACCATGTCATTTATAAACAAAAATCTTTTCATATTTTTAATGAACCATCAACATGAAGAAAGACTATACTCTCCTAAACTTAGCAGTGTCCTAAATATTATAATAATATAAATATTTGTGGTTATTGACAAATAAACTTCATTAGTTTAGAGTGTTTCACTTTTAAATGTGAGTAATATTAATGCCCATGGTTTGTTTGTTTTTTCTTGTTTATAGTCCAAACTGGGTTATCTTACCCTCATCTTGTGCACAGCCCACACCCTGGTGTATGGAGGGAAGAGATTCCTCAGCCCTTCCATTCTAAGATGGTATCTTCCTTCGGCCTATGTGTTAGCTCTCATCGTTCCTTGCACAGTGCTGGTGATAAAGTTTATCCTCATCATGCCGTGCGTAGACAAGACCCTGACACACATCCGCCAGGGCTGGGAAAGGAATTCAAAATGCTCGAAATCAGCATTGAACGGAAAATCAGATCTCTAAAACAAAGGTGAATTTGCCAGGATTTCTGAACTACAGTATTGAATGTTTAGAGAAGAATGATGGGTCCTGTTAAGAAATCTTTTTCTCTCATCATAGTCAGAAGTTTATCAATGCAGAAAGAAATGTTGCCTGACTTTGAAAAACTAAAATTGGAAGGAAACATTACTTCACCTCAGGGCAGTGATGAATCTGTGTGAGTCTCTGTGGCTTCTTTTCCCAGAAGCCCAGGAGCTGCCACTGTGGTAAGATTTGCAGATTCACACTAAGAAGCTTCTTAATTGTGGGCAACATGAATGATGTAACGTTTTTGCAAAATCCAGGAATCGTGTATGCAACTTCCTTCTCTAATTTAAGGGCTGAGGTAAGTGAAGGAAAAAGCAACAGTGGTGGTTAGGCTTAGAATGCCTAAAGAAGAGTCCCAAGTGAAGTAAAAGGAATGAGATTTTTGTTTGTTTGTTTCTTTAATGGAAGTAATGGTGATCACAAACATTGTCATACTGATTATGGTTGTTTGTGGTACAACACTAAGAATCAAAGACAGGGCTTTCTGCAGACTAAACAAATGCTATGTTTCTGAGCTACATCTCCAGCCTTGCCATAGTGAATTCTATAGTCATATGAACCCCTTGACCCCTTGAGTTTGCTTTTTAATATGGATGTTTACTATTGGGAAATACTTCATAGTGAAAAAAAAATCACAGTTGGAGGTAATCATTCATTGTCTGCATGGACATCTATATTTGTTGTTAGAAGATTCTTCCTCTATAAGGACTGGGTAGAGGAGAGACTAAGCGTGGCGAGATGTCCATTTGGATTTTTCAATGAGTACTATGCAAGAAGGAACTGATAAAGGCCCTTACATAAAAGGTCAAGCAAGCCAGAATTTCAGCTAGCAAGCTAAGTCAATACTATAAAGTTTCACTACTCACAGTTTGGTATTAGCTAGGTATTGTGGTATGCATAAATTTTATATTCCAAATATTGTTCAATGTTAATCATCTGTGAAATTAATTTTTAGTATAAAAGTGTAATTTCAATAATCTGTCTCAGTCCATTATAATTTGAAGCAGTAAATTTAAATTATCTAAAACTGTAAATTTGACAAATACATAGATAAGAAAGAAGGCTGGAAAGTCTCTGCTGAGAGGTCTGAGCTGTGGTTGTCGCATGAGATTTGCTTTGTTCTCAAATCTTTGCTAAAGGGGACTGGTCTGGCTCTCTGTGTGGATAGTGCCTTTTCCAAGGTGATCTTCAGCAGGATTAACCTTCCTAGCTCAAACATGGAGCTAAAAGGAGATTTTTGCACCTTCTTTCCACGTATCACTGAAATAACTAAAAGGAATTAGGTTTAACATTTTTCTGCTTAATCTATAAAGGTTTTTTATTTTTTCATTTTAACATTTATTGTCACATGTTATACATAACATCATACAAAATGATTTAAATGTATTACAACATTGCTCACAATCCATATTTTTCTATAAAGGTTTTATTACATAAAAATGAGCATTTAACTATTGCCCTGAATATATAATATATATCCAGCTTTTACTAAAACAAAAATTGAGATGTTTTTATACTAACAACACATTTCTGTATTCTTTAGAATATTTGCCAAGAGTCAAGATTAAAAAATTAAAATAGTATTTGATAGCATGTTGTATATTGCAGTTTCTAATGCGACCTCATCAACCCAGTGGCACTGGATAAGGGTAGTTGACTTTATCACACCATTACAGATTTGGGGTTTTACTTCAACTTTGTTTTCTCATAAATAGCTACAATGGTTTGAAGGATATGCTCCTCTAAATTATCTTCGATCACCCAAGCAACTGAAAGGCTCTGAGAAGAGCTGGTGCATGTGGGGCCAACCCTGGAGCATCAGTGAAGATTCTTGGAAGCATCACTACTTATCCATGTTGCGCAGAACATCCAAGGGTACTGGGGCTGGCCGGAACATTGACTGATTAAGCTAAAACACCATTTCAGTAAGATTCCAGTTTCAATAGGAGCCATATCCATCATGAAAAATAGAACATAAAACACTCTACTGTTTGTAAAATGCTCTATCAAGGTACCTAATAAAAACATCCATTATGCATGAAATTAAAGAGAGCCCTGGTTGGTTTGGGCATAATAGTTGTGTTGCCAGGCTTGACCTTTGGCCACAACCACAAAAGCTCTGAGCCCCACCAACTGGTCAGAGAAAGACAAAGTTCTTCCATCCTTCACAACACCATTCCCTACTGCTCAAAACAGGGCCAAGCTGGACCGTGTTAACAGGTGGAGAGAATGAGTTTTGAACAGATGGAAATTGATATGTTGAGTGACCTATATTTCTTTTAACAGAGACAAATTGTTCTACATAAAAAAGTTACACTAAGAGGGGCATGGCCGCAGACACCTGTAATCTCCAGTGGGAGGATAAAGGTCAACCTAGGCTACTAAGACCTTGTCTCAAAAAAAAAGAGCCAAAATAAATATAAGAAGAAAAGTTACTTCTTTACTGTTTGTATGATTCCTGTATTCTAGGATTTTTTTTTTCATTTTTAATTATTTTATTCAGTTTTTGTGCATTTCATATAATACATCTTAATCAAATTTAGACACCCCTCCTTCCGGCTACCCACCCCTCATAGCCCCACACACACACAAGCTATCAGGTAGTCTGTCATATATGTTAAGTCCTATCTGGTCAAGCATTTCTATCTGGGTGTATGCTTCCTCCATGTTTAGGGATGGCAGTTGTGGTAAATATGTACTCAGTAAACATTACTTTTCAAGTATTTTCCAGTTTTGTTTAATTCTGGTTTTGACTCATTAACATCCCAAGGAAAATAACTGAAAAGTTTTAAATGGCAGTAGTTAAAGCATCTGGAGGTAAAAATACTTCCGGGATAAGGAAAAGGGGAGGGGAGCGTGGATTTGAAGCTCATGCGGCGTCTTGCATCTTCACGCACTGCAGTGGTCTTCAGGGGCTTCAGTGTAATTCTCAGACACAGTGCTTTGACTAGCTAGATAAGAGAAAGTTAGACTAGCCTGGACTTTAGTGAGAGTTAGAAAAAGTTGTTTTCCTTCCCCAGGCAGATGCCACCAGAATAGATCTTGACAAACAGTCTTTGGGTTGGATTCAAACTGTGAGATCTGGCATTAAATGCTCTGCACAACTGAAGGGCAGCAGCCTTAATGGGTGTTATCAGCTTTCAAAAGCAAAATGAAACTGACATGAAAAGGGCTGGCAACCTGGGATAAACTAGACACAAATGGGAGCAGCCCTGCCTGAAACCTACTTCAACTAGAAATGTATCAAGTGTTCCTCATACATCTATTGCTCAGGAAATCACAAAAGGGCTATGAGAATGAGGAATGTGTATAATGCATTGAACCTCTGGGCACTCAGAAGGTTCTGGAACTCTTCTAAAGATCCAAGTGGAATGGAGGTCAAGGTTTTCAGTTTCTTTCACCATAAGTCATCCCCTGGGTAGCACACACACAAACACACACATACCCAGAATGCACACATACATCCTACAGATCCTAGTCCAGTTTCGCATCATAAGGAATCTAGAAAAAAGTCCTCCACTCTTCTAAAGATTTGTTTGATAAAGTTAAGGAAAGAGAATAAGTTAATATTCCTGCATTACTTTACCTCAAACGCAAGTCTAAAGCCTGAGCGATCAGACAAGACCTGAATGAGGGGGCAAGCTCCTGGGGAAAGGGACAGTGGTTGGACAGAAAGGTGTGTGAAGAAACAGGAGGGTGCACCCTGGCCCCAGCTCAGCCAAGACTAAAACATCTAGTACTGCTCCCTGCTACGACAGAGTCTTGGAAGGCTTTAAGTCATGTTTGCTGCATAATATTATGAGCAAATTCTGCTAACATGGACATGTATACTCTTACTAATCTATGTAACCGTTCTCTAAAATATTCTTTGTACCACTGCTTTTCTTTTTTTATTTTATTTTTTTTTATTTTATTTCATGTGTATTCATGTATGGTCTGCATGCAGGTAAGTGCACCTGTGTCATGCAATGTCCACGGAAGACAGAAGAAGATGTCGGATTCCCTGGACTGGAGTTACAGACAGTTGTTAGCTACCATGTGGGGGCTGGGATTTGAACCTGGGTCTTCTGCAAGAACAGTCAGTGTTCTTAACTGCTGAGCCATCTGTCCAGACCCTCTTTTTTTATATATTTTATTTATTATTTTTATTTTATGTGTATGTGTGCATTGCCTGCAGGGAGGTAAGTGTACCCATGTCATGCAATGCCCACGGAGAACAGAAGAGACTGCCAGAGTCCCCGGGACTGGAGTTATTGACAGCTGTTAACTGCCACGTGGTTGCTGGGATTTGAATCCAGGTCTTCTGCACGAACAGTCCATGTTCATAACTACTGAGCCATCTCTCCAGCCCCTATATCATTGCTTTTCACAAACACTGTGTGCCTTGCCTAAATTCACACAGCTGGTAAGAGGCAGAGCTGGGATTTGAACCCAGGCTGTGGCCCTACTGCCATCCTCTCCTAACACCATACTGTCCTTCCAAATTTTCCCTTGAACTTACAAATTAGGCGATGTAACCATATTTCTAACAACTCTGTTCTCAAACACTTTTGGTTTGGGTTTTGTTTAATTTTATTACATTTTATTTATTTGGGGGGCAAGTGTGCACATGTTGGCACATGTGACAGTCAAAGGACAACTTTTGAGAGCCAGTTCCAGTTCTCTCCTTCCACGTGGGTCCCAGGGATCAAGCTCAGGTTCTTAGTCTTGGCAGCAAGCACTTTTACCCACTAAGCCACCTCGTGGCCCCCTGAAATGTCTTTTAAATATGTGAAGCTTTGCCAGGCATGGTGGCCCAGGCGCTCAGGAGGCAAAGGCAAGGGTATCTCTGTAAGATCAAGGCCAGCCTGGTCTACTGTAGCAAGTTCTAGGCCAGCTGGGGCTACAGGGAGACCCTGTCTCAAAAAATTAATAAAAATAAATAAATAAATACTAAAATAAAAACATGAAGTTCATTGGGATTTAAAACATTTCTAGTTGTCCAATCTCCAAGTTTGCTTATGTGGATTTCAATACATCCTGCAAGGTTTCAGTAATGAAGGACCTGTAGTTTCTGCGTTTGAGTTCAGCCTCAAAGCAACTGCCATCTTGATCTTCCCACCCAGGCCTCCAGTTTCCAGAACGCCACAGGAGCTTGGAGCAGCAGGAAGTGGAGGAGAGTGTGGCTCCTCTCCAGAAGCCTGAAGGCAAATGCTCCCCCTATCACAGTACTTTGCGCTGAATGAACCTGTTTGTTCTTCAGATCCAGTTGACCTATGCAGGAAATTTCATAACACTTTTAATCTAGTACTTTCATACCTGTTAAGGAAACAGCATTAACAATAATAATAATAGTAAAAGGCTTGGTCTGATTCCCTAGAACCCATGGCTGCCAGGCTCTCAGTTTTGTTTAAACGACGGGCTGTTGGACTAGAACTCCCAGTATTTCAAAAACTATCCGAACATCAACCAGAATCAAACTTTCCCCATATTTAGAGAGTGAAGAGGCTCTTAAACAGCACAGTGTACTGGTTTTATTTACACTAACCTTTTCTTCCACACTGATAAGCTAGAACAAAGTGAAAAAGGACAAGAAATTCCTGTTCCAGGTTCATTAAGGCAGAGTAGTAGAACCTGCCACAGCGGCAGGAGTTGTGTGTACTCTAACAGCCCCCATGCAGGCTCACCTTTTCTAGACCTAGTGTACAGACCTCCACTTGGAGGAAATCTCTTCCATTTCTAGGCTCTCTGGGCAGCTATTAGAAGTTCTCACTTGTATCTAAACAAAGATTTCCTATCTGTATTTCCACCCCTTTTTCTGAGTGCTGTTGTTTAAATAAGAGAGAGGCAGTATATTTTTTTGTTTTCTTTTTCCCCCAGACCATTACAGATTGATGCATCCATACAACAGAAAATCCTACACTTAAATATCATGGCAGCAACAAATTTCCCTAAGTTTCCTAACTCTCATCTGATTCTGCATTTATCACAGACTGATAATAGTCATGTCACAAACCAGTGCCATTTGCAAGACCACTCACTGACTAGCACTCAGAGATAGGCCCAGCTTCACTTGGTTCCTCCACAAAGGGCTCCTGAGGCAGTGACTCTAGTGTAAATAGTTTATTCCTTTTTTTGTTTGTTTGTTTTTTTGTTTTTTTGAGACAGGGTCTCCCTGTAGCCCCAGCTGTCCTGGAACTCACTATGTAGACCAAGCTGGCCTTGAACTCACAGAGATCCGCCTGCCTCTGCCTCCCAAGTGCTGGGATTAAAGGCGTGTGCCACCACGCCTGGCTATTCCTTTTTTTTAATATGCACAAATGTATTGCCTGCATGTGTGTAACAGCATCCATGTCATGCAGTGCCAGCAAAGGTCAGAAGAGGGCGTCGGATCCCCTGGAACTGGAGTTATAGACAGTTGTTAGCTGTCATATGGGTGCTGAGAATTGAACCTGGTTCCTCTGCAAGAGCAGCCAGTGCTCTTAGTTGCTGAACCATCTCTCCAGCCCCATGTAAATAGTTTATTCTGGGAGTGAAATCTTCAAATAGAGTGCAAAGGGGAGAAAGCAGGGAAAGAATAAAATGTGGGTTTTCAAGCCGGTCACTCCAGCCAGCTACTGGAGCACAATCCTGCCAGGAAACTCCAAAGATGGTATCAAATGTAACTCAGAGTCACCTTCACCAAGGGGAGAAAAAACTGTTTTTCATCCACCGAATTCTAGCTTATTGTTGGATTAGAGAATTTTTCAAGCCTCAACATTCCAGCACTTCTGACTATTCCTACATACTCATGGTATAAGCCACCGTGACCAGGAAAAAGACCCAGAGGCAAAGTGTAACCAGTGTCCATTCACTCGAGAGCTGACAAAATTAATAAATTCTCAGCAGAAAGATGGTCTGGTGCTAAGACATAGGATTCCAATAATGAAGGATGCAGAGGTGTGAACTGGATTCATGCGAGAATACAGTGTTCCATTGCATTCATTCTGAGATGCCTGAAAATGGAAATCGCCATTGCTCATCCAACAGATGGGCAAAATTCCAAAGGTTAGCGCATAGCGTGTGGGTGAGGCTGTGGGAACACTGGTCTTGGATATGGAAAGTAGGGCCACCCTTGTGGAGAGCAACTAAATGATACAGTTTGAAATTAAAAATGCACAGTAAGTTTTGACCCAGGAGACCAGCTCCTGAGAATTCATCAACCAGATGTGCTTGCAAGCTTGGAGGAAAATGGGCATGGTATTAATTTTTCTTGTTTTTCGTGGAGGAGAACATTAGAAAAGCAGAATGTGGGCAGCAGTTCAAGCATTCTTCTGTGGGTCTAGTTAAGCAAACAATAGTGCTTTTACAGAATAGGATTCTACACAGCTGTTTAAGGCAAATGAGAAAGCTTTTACATACATATCTGGAAATGCATCCAAAATATACATATTAAGTAAAAAAGATACAAAAGAGTTTGCAGTATAACTTATTTCGTAGATATTCTTTTTGTTGCTTTGTATTTTTCTTTGCTTATGGGGCAAGTTCTAGTTATATAGCTCAGGCTGGCCTCAAACTTGTGGCAATCTAATTTGCTTTTAATTGCCAAAAGAAACACTGAAAGGATTGAAAAGATTCATTTCTAAGCGCA